TAGTTACGTGTATAACATGTTTATTGGCTACACGCAAAGAAGGCAAGCAGGAGGGTTTCTTTAACCCCATAGATAAACAAGAGGTTCCATTACATACTATTTACATGTATAATTACATACTTACCATCATTGATGCATTTACAAAGTTCACTTGGATTTTCCCTACTAAGAGTACCACAAGCAAACAAACTTTGGAGAAACTGAAGGTGTTTCAGCAGCACTTTGGAAACCCGTACAGAATGATCTCTGACAGAGGTACTGCTTTTACGAGTAGAGAGTTCAAAGACTTCTGTGAGTAGGAAGGTATTCAACATGTTACCACAACCACGGGTGTGCCTCGCGGAAATGGACAAGTAGAGCGAGTGCATAAAACAATTATATCAGTATTGTCTAAGTTAAGTGTGGAATATCCTAACCTGTGGTATAGACATGTTAGCTGTTTGCAGAGAGCACTAAATAGTAGGTACATACCACAGAAGTATAAGCTGCACACCTTTTGAATTAATGATTGGTACAACAATGAAAATGAAACAAGATTTGGATTTATATAATTTATTGTTACAAGAAGATAGAGAAAATTTTGTAGAAAACAGAGAAGAGTTACGCGTTAAAGCAAAACAACAGATTTTGAAAATTCAGGAGGAAAATAAGCGGAATTTCAATAAGAAAAGAAATAAAAGTTGTCATTAAAAAACCTGGTGATGTGGTGGCTATCAAAAGAACGCAGTTCGGAGTGGGAATGAAGTTAAAGCCGAAGTTCCTTGGCCCATACAAAGTAGTGAAAGTCAAAGGCAGAGACAGGTATGACGTGGAAAACCTGGACAGCTCTACTGAAGGCCCGAGGAAGACGTCGACTTCTGCTGACTACATGAAAACGTGTCCTGCTCTCAGATGACCCACGTAAGTTTTTGCATTCCATCGCTCTACTCATTTTGATTAATTTTACGTGACAGCCATGAAACATTTTTGTGAACTGCTGACACCACTATTAATAATTTGTTTGTAATAAGTTAAGAATGCGTTTTGTTACATTGTATTAAGTAAAGCACCGTGTCTCTTAAATAGTATTTATTAAAATAGTTAATCTAAGATTTAAAAAAAAACTGTTAACAAAAGGAAAGATTATTTAAAAGATTACTGTTTAAAGTTAAAGAACATTACCATGATTAAGCGTTGTGATGTGTTCTGTTCCTATGTTTAGAGTTGTACTCCATACTTAGTATTTGTTAAAGTTAAGGATGTATTTATTGTGTTTATTGTAGTATTTAGCTGTAAGATTGTGCAAAAGTTAGTTTTGTTGATCAGCCTGAGGACAGACTGATTGCAGGAAGGCCGAATGTGGGACGGAACGTAAAGGAATGAAGTGACAGAATGAATGTGTGATAAAGATAGCAAGATGACAGTATGAAAGTGAGTGAAAGAGCAAGTATTTAAAATGAGTGAACAATGAGCGAGTGACTGAATGCGAAGTAAGAATGAAGGGAAGCTAGATTTTAAATACTGGGACTAGCAAACAGGAAGCCATTGTGACAAGACGATATAGCTGTGAAGAGAGAGATTAAACCTTGAAATCAAACACCAAGCTGTGTTTTATTCTCAACAAAACATATTCCACATATATATATATATATATATAATGCCTTAGTATGGAACCCCTGAGAAACCATGTATACAAGCAGGCAGAGAATGCCTGTTAGGCATTAAGTTCGCTTTTGTACCAAATTGTTTTGTTTGAGTGCAATAAAGAATTTTCTATCTATCTATCTATACAATGATGGAAAAAATCCAACGTAACTTTGCCAGATATTTGTATAAACGCCAGGATGGATGCTACCCATTTCTATATCCGTCAACATTTGTACCGGGCATGGTTGGTCTGGATACTCTACAGTGTAGGCGGGAACTTATGCATATAATGCATTATTACTTCTTGTTAAGTAACAAAAACGATAATCCTGCAGTTCGTGAGACCATACATCTTTATGTACCGGACCAATATGTGCGAGGTGCATGTAGATGAAAGCGGTTACTCCTCTCCTGACCGCGTACGTGGCGCTCCCCACATGCAGATAACAGTCCCACTTCCAGAGTCGTTAGAGTAATAAACTGTTTCCTCAGGGTCAATCTTGACGCAGATATATTTTTTGACAAACCCAGCGCAATGTATAAAAATGTATTAATATTCTTAAACAACTTTGCGGGATAGAAGAATAGTATATGTTTAGGTAATTAAGTTTAATTTATTATAAAGTAAATAGATCTCTATATACTGTTATGGCCGTAATTTATGTTGTGTATGGTAATATTTAATAATTGGTGATTTTTTTTCTTGTGTGTTTTATCTTATTTTGTAAATTTAGTATAGATATAAGCGATTTGGTAATATATACTGTAAGCTTATATTTTATCAATAAATGAATATGAATATGAATTATGAGTAAAATAGCTGGGTCACCGCCATAACAATACCGAAATATTTAATACCAACTTCGAAATAAAAAAATCCACCGATATTAATAAAATTCTCGTAGAATAGAAAAATTGCGCAATATAAAATTTTAATATAATTGAAAAATATTAAATATTATGAAGATCGAGATAATTTTTAGTGCCGTAATAAGTTTTTTGACGGCTTCGTGGCGCAGTGGCTTAGCAATGAGTGACTGTGCTGGGGGACGCGGGTGCGAATGCCGCACGGAACAAGTATTTGTATGCCCTACAAATAATTGTTCCAAGTCTCGATTTTTGTCCTTGTGCAATTTATGTCTGTAAACTGCCTCCACGATACAGGAGAAAATCTTAGTGTTGTTTGTAGTAGTGAAGAAGAAGTAAAGACTGTAGTGTAGTGAGGTAATGATCGAAGAATAGAGACACTGTAGTCTTACGCCTACATGTTTACACACATATTTACATATGTTGAACGTTGACTTGGCGCGAAAAAAGATTCTTATACCGCTACTGCACAGTGTAAGAATCCAGATATATTTAGTCTTATTTTTAGACATTACATTTTACTATCATTTATTATAAATAACTCTCAAATTACATAAACATTAATCACAGTGAGAAGATAGAAATAAATGTAACAACAAATAAATATACCAACAGTAACATGAACTTTCAGCTGGATGTAGTTAATTACTTTTTCCTTGCCCCATCATCACTAAAGTAATATGCACTAAGTACTCGACACCGCGAAAAAAAACTGTGCGGAAGTGCGGGACGCGTGGTCGGAGGCACAGAGTACCTTTTTATGGCACTTTAACACGTGTTGCAAGCCACCAAGCCTCAGCGTCTCTTCTAGTACGTAGTACGTACAATATCCAACAAACTATGCTCAACGTTGGTTACCGTTATTATAAAGGACAATGATTGTCAACTGAGAAACATTAGGCAGGAAGTCAATACAACGACATTTAATAAACTTTACTCTAAAAATAAGTCAATATTTTTACGAATACAAGATTGACCTTTATACAAGTACACGTATTTATTAAGAGCCATGGTAGCTCAGATGGTTAGCGCTCGCTGTAAATTTCACAATACGCGAGCAAACCAGGTTTGATCCCCGCCGGCACCAATGAAATTGTTAATTCCAATTTTAAGTGCTGATTTACCACGTGCTCGGCGGTGAAGGAAAACATCGTGAGGAAACCTGCACGTCTGAGAAATAAAATAAAAAATATTTCGAAGACATGTGAAGTTCGCCAACACGCGTTGGGGCAGCGCGGCGGACTATTCCTTGCCCTAAAACCCTCTTAGAAATGAGAGGAGGCCTGTGCCCAGCAGTGGGACGTATATAGGCTGTAACTTTACTTTATTTTACTTTACGTATTTATTCAGTCACTTAAAATTTTAAACATATCGCTTTAAAATTTTCATTTCAGATGTTACATACCATTCGACAGCGACAGCTGCGATATCTAATCCTTGTTGCTTACTGACGGGAGTTATACAGTCGAGTCACGTCGATCAAACTGTGTATAAAGTCCGGACGTGTGATGCGCACACTTCTATTAATAAGAGGGAAATGTACGTGACAGATTGAGGACTTGGAGTGCTAAGTAAATTCTGATTCGATTTTCATTATCACTTCTAAGTATCTAATCATTAAATTGATAGGATAGGATTCGTAGTTAAAAGATGAACAAAATGCACTAATAACAACAATATCATCCAAATCCAATTTATCTGTGGGAAATATCAACAGGGATTAGCCATCATCCTGTTGAGCAGGCACTATACTGCACGAGAGGATATGCAATACAGCTGCATTCTACATCTCTATTTCATCACTCATATAGTACTGCGGGACGAAAATCTGACAAAACCAAATAAAAATTACGTGCAATGTGTGCAGTGTCAGCGGCTTTATATGATTTCTGAGCCACGGGGTAAAACATCGCCAACTTTCTGACTCCAGGCTGATATTGAAAATTTATTGACAGAAAATTCCAATGACTATAGTGTTCGGTCCGACACGGCATTTGAACCTGGGAACACAGCAAGCAGCACACTTACTTACCTGGGAACGCAACAGCAGTCACGCTTACGATCACTATACGATGCAGTCAAAGTGTTTACTATGCCTCCATTAAAAATAATAATAATAATAATAATAATAACACACGAAACGGTGCCGGGCCTGGGCGTCTCCCGTTAATGGACGCCCAAATAATGGATGATGGATAAAAAGATAGTGCGCAAAGGGCCGCTGCCTGGGGGTCGCCGGGGCGCGTCTGGAGCTGGCGCTGGACGCGGCAGCATGCGGGCCGCCAGCCGAGCGCGAGGAGCTGCACGGTCATCTACCAGCCCTCCGCATCCATCATCCCCACCAGAAGGCTTGGTGTCGGCTGGGTCTTCTCGGACTCAGCAAGCGGCACCCGCCGCTGGTGGAGCACGTCGCATGCGTTGGTCACAAGAAATGAATGCAAACGCACTGCGGGCGTACTTTAGGGCAAAAAGGGGAAGAAACTGGATGTTTGGCGTATCGGGCTAGGATGCATCGTCTTTTTGCTGAGCTGGAGCCATCTTTAATCGTCACAGAGCAAAACCTGGCAGACCGAGTTCGGTATATCTTGCGCTCAAATATATTTGATGTCGCCGAACTCGAACGGCTACGACGTGAGGCTGTTCCCTCGTCGGATGAGAATGCTACGGCTGAGGATGCGGCGCCACAAATGGTAGAGCAACCCGCAAACGTGGATGCCGCCGTGAATACCCCAGTTGTGGTTGATTCAAACGATGATGGAACAGTCGCCCAGGAACTGGAATTAGAGCATATGAGGAGTATATTGGAAGAGGCGATTGTGGAAACGCGCAGTACGCCTCTCGAAAATCGACCGCAACTTCCCCGCATAGCCCTAAGCAAGCGGAATCGGGCTGTCGTGAGGGCTCTGAACCCAATGCTGGTTACCTATTTGGAAGCCAGCCGGGACCTTTGCGAGACGGACTCAATTCTTTTTGGCGCCGCGCTGGCAGTCTGCCGTATCATAGGCGCCAAGGTTTCCACGGCTGGACGCGCTACTGGCCATAGTAGCGCTATCCCAGCATGGAGAAGAAGAATTGAGGAACGTATCGCAAAGGCTAGAGCTCTCATCGGCAGACTGATATGCTTCAGATCAGGCAACAACAGGCCAAGAATTGTGCGCACCGTCAGGATGGCGTTTGCTGGGACAAATGTCAGTTTGTCCCAGCCGGATATAACGCAAAAACTGACGGAGCGCATAGATGATCTGAAGCAGAGAATCGCTGCTTGGGGAAAGCGGATTCGGCGATATACCGAGAGGTCGACACGGTTCAACCAGAATCGTCTCTTCCAGAGTGATCACAAGAGGCTCTATGAATCATTGGAGCGACCAATGGTAAGTGGAACGGGTCCAGCACCGAATCAGGCCGACACTGTAGCATTCTGGCGCGGCCTGTGGTCAGAGCCCGTAAACCACAGCGAGGGCCCTTGGACGGAAGTTGTGGCGAGTCAGTGTGCGGGTATTACGCCCATGGACCCCGTCATCATAACGCCGGATGACGTAGCTGAGGCGGTTCGTAGGGCCCCGAACTGGAAAAGTCCGGGGCTTGACGGGCTGCATCACTACTGGCTGAAGGGGTTCATGGTGTGTCACTCTGTGCTCGCCCGACAGTTTCAAGAGGCTCTCAACCAGAAGTCGCTCCCAAGCCTCTTCACTACTGGGATCACTCATTTAGTTCCTAAAGACCAGGGTACCACAGACCCGAGCAAATACCGCCCCATCACGTGTCTACCGACCATATACAAGACACTAACATCCATTTTGAGCGCGAGAATCACTTGTCACCTGGACTCAAATCAGGTGATGTCGCGCGCTCAAAATGGATGTCGGGGCGGTGGTCGTGGAACCAAGGAACCACTCCTCATTGACGCGGTCATTGGCAAAGTGGTGAAACGCAACCGTCGGAACTTCTCCGCCGCCTGGATAGACTACAGAAAGGCATTCGACTTGGTGCCCCATACATGGCTAAAGAGAGTCCTCGAGCTGTACAAGATAGACTGTACAGTTAGAGACTTCCTCGAGCAGTGTATGGGGCAGTGGAGTACGATCCTTTGTCATCTAGGCGAGCGGATGATGGCTGCGGAGAACCACATAAGGATAAGAAGGGGTATCTTCCAGGGCGATTGTCTGAGTCCAATCTGGTTCTGCCTCTCTCTGAACCCTCTCAGTACCTTACTGGAGGGCTCCCGGGGAGGGGATTTCAGCTACGGAAAGGAGGGACAAAAGTGACCCACCTTTTCTATATGGATGACCTCAAGTTATTCGCCTCCAGTCACTCCCATCTTATGGAACTGCTAAACATCACTTGTGAATTTAGCAATTCCATTGGAATGGAGCTGGGGACGGATAAGTGTGCGGTCTTCCATGTTGAAAGGGGAAGGGTTGCTAACTCTGAGGGCGTAGACTTATCTATACCCGTCAACTTAAGGACCCTTTCCGAGGCTGAAACATACCGATACCTGGGTATGTCACAAAACATCGGTATCGATGAGACTGGTATGAAACAGTCAGTTTGCGACGTGTTTTATGCACGCTTGACCAAAGTGCTTAACAGCCTTTTGTCCGGTGTGAATAAGGCACACGCATATAACGGCTGGGTCATGCCTGTCCTCATGTATACCTTTGGCATACTCAGGTGGACTCAGACTGAACTTAACGCCCTGGATAGAAAAGTCCGCACTACAATGACGTCCCATAGGATGCATCATCCGAGATCGTCGGTAATGAGGCTGTACTTGCCGCGGAAGCATGGTGGTCGTGGCTTCTTGAGCGCGCTCACCATGCATAATCGCGAAGTGTGCAGCCTCCGTGATTACTTCCTGGCGAGATCGGATGATCCATTCTATAAGGACGTCATTTCTTGTGATAAAGGACTTACCCCTCTATCCTTAGCCAACGAGCAATGGCAAGACCCGGCAGTGCAGAGCATTTCCGACCGGGAGACCGTATGGAAGGAGAAGGAGCTCCACGGGAGGTTCTACAAGGCTCTACATGAGCCTTTCGTAGACACAGTAGCCTCCCTCCACTGGCTACGCTTTGGTGATCTCTTCGGGGGAAACCGAGGGTTTTGTCTGTGCAATACAGGATCAGGTTATTAAGACCAACAACTATCGGAGATACATCCTAAAGGATGGCACCGTCGACATCTGTCGAGCTTGTCGCCATCCCGGTGAGTCACTTAGGCATGTTATCTCCGGTTGTTCGGCGCTTTCTAACTCTGAGTACTTGCACAGGCACAACCTAGTAGCCAGAATTCTACACCAGGAGCTCGCTCTGAAATACGGTCTCGTGGATCGGAAATTGCCGTATTACAAGTACTTGCCGGAAGCCGTGCTCGAAAATGATCGCGCCAGGCTCTATTGGGACCGGGCCATTCACACAGACAGGACTATTCTTGCGAATAAGCCTGATATTGTGCTGATGGACCGGGCACAGTCAAGGATATTTTTGGTCGACATTACCATTCCGTATGACGAGAACCTCGTGAAAGCCGAAACAGACAAGCAAACAAAATATCTGGACCTGGCTCACGAGGTGACCGACATGTGGGGTGGTCTGCCGACCGAAATTATTCCTGTAGTCGTCTCTGCAAACGGGCTAATCCCAGTCAGCCTCTCGGGTCATCTGAGGCGGCTGGGACTACGTGGCGGACCGCTCCAGGTTCAAATGCAGAAGGCGGTGCTCCTCGATACCGCCCGCATCGTCCGCCGGTTTCTTTCCCTTTCCCCCTAACCCTCGGCCGTTTGGTCTCCCCCTGCCGAGGGCCTCCATCTGGTTGGGCTTTTATTTATTTATGTACTTTTATATTTATTTTATGTTATTGATATTTATGTATATTTGTCTTTTCATTTTCATTTATAATTATATATTTATAGCACCCAACCAGATGAGAAAACTATATAGATACCCCAAAATAATAATAATACCTTAACATCTATAAGCAGCTTTAGGCAGGCCTCTGTCACTCTTGCTACCTGCGTGAAATAATTACCTAAAATCGCGAGGCGCCTGGTCGTTATGCGCAATCGGGGCTAGCGCGATATAGGTGATTCAATGTTAAAGTTTTTTAACGCTGTTTACGTAAATAGTTTTATATAAATACTTGTTGAAATAGTTTTTGTTTTGTGTTTCATATATTTAAGTGTAGGTAAAAATGGTTGTAAAAGTTTTAATGTATTTTAAAAATTATTATTTGATAAATTATAATAGCAAAACGTCGTTCCTAATATAACTGTTGCGTGGATGAATACTAAATGAAATGACCAACAAAAGAATTCATCATTCTTCAAGTTACCGAAGAATTTTAGAAGGAAGTTATGAAAGGTGATTTTTTTTGTAGGATATGTACTTACAGCAAAAAAGAATTAAGTAATAATTTGGTCTACAGAAGAAATACCTAAGTAGTTTATCACAAAAAATAGTTAAAATTTACTTCACTATCCAAGTATTTACTTACATACCTATACTTGTCTTTTGTAATTGAAAATATTTTAAGTTATAGTAACACAAAATACTAAAATTAAAACTTCGTATACTAACAAGATTTTTAACTAAGTAGAATAGATCACATTTCTGTTAGGAATCGTATTTCAGATTTATTTTCTGTTTAAACTATCGACCTATTTCTTCCGAACCAAGCGTTGCTATTCCCGACGAATGACCTTGCAATTTGCATGCATTAGGCATCGTAGAACTCACATAGGGGCGAAGGTATGGTCAGTCGATCATAGTCAGAATAGGTACTTCACCTAAGTAACATAATTAACATTTCGCAATGTATTTTTTTACTTTATATTGACATCCCTTTATAACCACGGAAAGTCCGCCGTGACTTAGGAAGCGGAAAAGATGCAAAGTAATAGCGACGCTGACGCGCAGCGATAAAGTTTTATTTGGCTTGCGTGCGCGATTTATCTGATTAACAATAATTATGTAGGCTATTAAACATCGGCAAGCAGTCGACATCAAAGGAGTGCAACTTCTGTACGTAGTACTATTATTTATTCTGTGCTTTAGGTATGTGTTTTATATGATGGTTAAATAGACACAGACTTTTTATATTTCGAAATAAATTAAATTTTATTGATAAAATTGGCATAATTTATATTTTATTGAAATTATCTTTATTTTTGCGAGAGCCCTAATAGCTCAGGTGCTTAGCGCTCGCTGTAAATTTTAAGTACGCGAACATCCCTGGTTCGATGCCTACCGGGACCAATGAAATTGTTAATTGCAATTTAAGTGCTGAAATACCACGTGCTCGGCGGTTAAGGTAAACATCTTAAAGAAACCAGAATATCAGATATTTATTTCTCAGATATGCTGGTTAAAATATTTCGAAGACTCGTGAAGTTCGCCAACACACATTGAAACAGCGCGGCGGACACTTCCTTGCCCTAAAACCCTCTCAGCAGTAGGACGTATATAGGCTATAACATTAACTTATCTTTATATTATAATTCTTCTGTCCGTGTATATGTGACTGAATCCCTCCGAAGCGGCTCGACCGATTTTGATGAAATTTTGTGTGTGTAATTAAGTTGATACAAGAATGGCTTAGATTCACAATTGGACCCAGTAGAGGGATGTCAAAATCCAGAAATAAACCGTGTGACGCCGGGATTGATCACTAGTTTATTATAAGATAACCATTTTTGCAAATAAAAACCTACGTTACTACTTAGCTTGGTGCTTGTATTTCATTTTTAGTGTACACATAAAAAATACATATTGTTTAGTATACCCCCAAGTCCTGAAACATATTAACTATAACAGATATACATTATAATATGCAGTATGTAATACTTAATAAACTGTTCACAAACAACTCCATAAATAACTCTAAAATAAAAACATATAGTCTCCGAATAAAGGGTTATTGTAAACAAAACTATATTAAGTCAACAAAATCAGATCGAGTCAACAAAATAATGCTCGTTTTCATTTTAAGCAGTCTTTATAAGATTACGTTTGGGAACAATAAATAAATTATTGTTATATAAACTGTGCAGAATTTACTATGAAATAAAACTTTCATCGATAAAAACGACGCTGACGGTACGGCGGCGTTATCGTCGTTGTTGTGTCTTTCCTGGAATAGTGGTGTTGGAAGTAGTGGTGCAGGGAGTAGTAGTGTTGGGAGTAGTGGTGCTAGTGGTAACGGAATTAGTGCACGCAATTGTGGGCGGGAGGTGCTCTTCAATCCAGGTAAGACACATCATTGTATTTAGTTAGCGGAAGGTTGCAAATTAATTAATATTTTTATTATAAAGGATTTCCGCAAAGTAACGCCTGATTCTATCAATTATAATATATGATTGTAAATATTTCTTTTTTTTTCAAAAAAATGTTCACGCTGGGTTTCTTCAATCAATTTAAAACAGTAACAAAACCCAGCCGGAACCCAGATTGGAAAGCCAGGACAGACACTTTTCCCGAAGGAGTCGTAAATTAAACATAAGGACGACTTCCAATAGATATTTTTATTACCTCTATTGAATAAAATAGTTTATATTGTATTTCTACTGACGTCTATAGATATTAGTTGGTAGGTCACCTTTTTTATACATGAGGAAATGCATACGCATTCCCTCCTCGCGGGGGCAAGGACGGGTTATGTCGGACTCACATTGACTAAAACCACATATTATTCCACCTTCGTCGCATATTTGCAGGGCCACGGGAACGCTTTCGTACACATCCACGTCACCACCAGCGCTGGTAGTTCCATGGCAGAATCCCTCGAGAGAAGACAACTCCTTCCTATTCTCCTTTTCAGGTAAGGTACACCATAACACATGGCGCGCCCTCCTTCTCGGCCTCCAGTCACCTCCAGGTCACCTGGAGTCCGTGTGGGTAGTCACTATCCGATTACCTAATAGCATCAAACAGCAGTGCTTACACCAGTAATTATAGTCTGTGTGGCATTCCATCTTACTTCTCAGAGCTGATAACACATCTGTAGCCTTGTTAGTTTGAAGATGACACCTACTTTTGAATAAAACTAAATTTACGGATTTTATCGCGTTTAATTAACTAATTTTACTTATTTTTAATTCCCGACGTTTTGGGTGCTCATCTCAGTCCCCCGTGACCATGGATGTTGTAACCCATGGTCATGGGGGACTGAGATGTTTGACATCCCAATGTCATAGCCCGGTTACCTTCAGTTTTTTAATATTTAATTGTTCGGTCCGATCTACGCAAAACGAGCTTACAGTAGTATCTTGAAGTCTTGCAGTGATATGCTTGCGTTTGGGTTTAATTTTATTAATTATAGGATCCCAAGCAGATGGCAGTACCCATCCATCTTCTCTATTGAAATTAGGATTTTTTTTAATTTAAACAGCCTCGCGTTCTTGCTCTAGTACTTGGTAGTAATCGGTGTTCTTTTGCGATGATTTGTTGTTTATCAAATCTGATGTAATGGTGGGGACGATCTTGAACATGTTCACAGACTGCAGACTTCCCGGAGCGTCGGTGCTTCACGTCAGCTATATGTTTTTTCACGCGGGTTTTACGGATCTTTTTGTTTGAACTATGTAAGAGAGACCACATTCACACTAACTTGTTTCTTTTAGAGAGATATTACAATTGAAGATGGTAAAAATTGACTAATCTTTTAATGGAAGCTCGCTTCAAGATGTAGCCAACCTTGTCTATGACTCCTCTGACATATGATAGCATAGCAAACACACGCTCGAATATGGCCGGCTTCACTCGGCCACTGTGACGTATGCACGGGACCCGAAGCTTGTTGTCTTGCAACATTTGCTTGACGTGCTGAAGCTCGGCGGCCAGATGTTTTCTGTCATAGATCCCTCGTTTTCTCTGAAACAAAGATTTACACACGGTAGCTAACTGTGATCGATGATGGTGAGATTCACCATTTAAATATCGGTTGGTATGGGTCTTTTTTTCTATACACAGTGTGACCAATAGTGTTATCAGGATTTCAAACGACTAAAACATCTAGGAAAGCTAAGGAATTATTTGCCTCTAACTCCACTGTGAATTGTATTTTAGAGTTTATAGAGTAAAGGTGGTCTAAAATGCAGTTACTTTGTCATATGGTAAAATTGTGAAAGTGTCGTCTACGTACCGAAGAGAAATCATAATGACACCTACTTGTCGTAAGAACGGTTAGAATTGATTGTGGAAAATGCCCGAAATAAATTGTTGCCTATTAATGCCCAATGTTTATTTAAGTAAAGAAGCAGCCTATATAATTTCCACTACTGGGCATAAAAGTAAAGTTAAAAGTAAAGTTACAGCCTATATAGGTTCTACTGCAGGGCACGGGCCTCCCCCTCATTTCTGAGAGGGTTTTAGGGCAAGGAAGTATCCGCTGCCCCAATGCGTGTTGGCGAACTTCAGATGTCTTTGAAATATTTTTTTTTTCTTATTCCTCAGACATGCAGGTTTTCTCACGATGTTTTCCTTCATCGCTGAGCACGTGGTAAATCAGCATAAATCATCCCAGAAAAATATAATATTTTAGAATTAAAAAAAAAAAACAATAAAGAATTAACTTCTCGACACAGTACAAGTACAGTACAAACAACTTATTATGGTAGTAAACTTATTTATCGAAGAAAGTATTAAATAAAATATGTGATATAAAAGATATATAACAAAATATCGAAATTGTATGGCTCATTCCCGGCAAACGAGGGTAGCAGCTCGAATAAAAATAGCAATTAAAAAATTTATTTATTTTAAAATTAAATAATATTTACATTATTTTGCTTGCATTACAAGTAACGATTACGTGATAATCCAAAGAAGCCTTATTACTTACTTTGAAACATTAGCTACCTATTGACGTAATGTTATTCATGTGAATCACTTTGATAGCGCGTTACACAAATCAGTGAACATTTTAGGAACTGAAACTTTGCGAACATTTAATGTATTCAATAAGTCCGAATTGCTTTCCGATCTAAGGTTCTTGTATATTTGTTCCGTCGAAATTATTGGGAACGGTTGTACATCAACATGACGGTGATCAATTACTTACGTTATCAGCTAAACAATTGACTACACATTCCCATTTATATTCATTCTCCCTCCCTGTTTTCAGTTTTATTTATTTTCTTGACTTGCGAGGTTTTATTGAAGCTACCAATTTTTATTTAATTTATGAGTTTAGTCTTGCTGCTGCTTTTATTTTTAAATCAATTTAATCATTCAAGAACTATTATGGATTGCCAGACACGATAATTTGAAAATTTTGTTACTAGGATCCTGTTTAGAGGAAAAGATATACAATTTATAATGCATTCATATTAATTATAAACCTGATTATAAACATCATTACTCATCATGACAGTCCTTCACAAGTTCACTACTATGCGGACAATAGCACAGATGATGTTTTATACACTGGCCATGCCAAATTTCTGGGAAAAACTTCGCCGAGTATCGGAACAAACTACTGTTTTTAGTCGAGATTTTGATGTACAGAGTATCGGATTGGGGGCGACTACATCTAGTCCATTTCAGTCCCAAAAAGACACAAGTTTGCGCGTTTACCAGTAAAAACAATGCCTTTGTCGAATATCCTTAGTTTCAAGGCACTTTCCTTGCTACCTCAGCTAGGATCGGAATCCTCGGCGTTGACACAACGAATAATGTGCAATTTCGTGGTCACTTACCCAAATTAGCCCCTAAAAAGCTTGACATGCTTAGCAGAGTGGGACATTATTTTATGCCGGTAAACCGCTTGCAACTTTACAATTCGCAAGTTTGGCCTCACAAGGAAAACTGGTCTCAACTCTGGGTTGAGGCACCTCATTACCAGCTCCTTCCACTTAACCACAACCAGTGCAGAGCGGCTTAAATCGTCAACGACCGAGTTCTATCTATCTGATCGGCTCAATTGTTTCATCCCTTTGCATTTGATATCGCATCTATCACGGGGAGTGTTGTGTGAGTGTGGATGCTCTACAGAATTGCTTGCATTAATCCAGCCGTCGAATTTCACGAACTCACATCGCGTCAAAACTTACGATACCATCTACACCATCTGGATGTTTGGCATTCCACCACCGTGCGTTTTACTAGGAGTTTGCTTCCTCGTACAACCTCCTTGTGGAATTGTTTACCACCGGTATCTTTTCCGGACCGACTTAGGAACCTTCAAGAAAATAGCTTACTCCTGTCTAAAAGGCCGGTAACGCACATGCAAATCCCCTGGTGTTGCATTTTTTCATGGACAGCGGTAGTGACTTAGTATCAAGGAATCCGTATGCTCGTTTGTCCCCTCTTCTATAAAACTTTAGGAAGCTATAGAGAGTTCCTTAAGTTGGCATCTGATGCGAACGCAGACATCATAAATCTTTACTATACCTGTCACATCATTCTTCGATCTATACAAAAACAACTCTGTCCACATTTCTGCCGCTTGTACTTAAATACTCAACTTTGACTTTAGCCACATTGAGCCATTTCAGTAATTGCACATAAGCCAAAATATATTCGAATTTATTCAAGTTAATTAATAAAAAGACGTAATTTTGTTATCATTATCTAGATAAATAATTATCTCTTTTGTAGTTGTATAGAAAAGATAAGTAAGCTGAAATGATACTGGGTCACCAAAATAACGTGAAAAAAGTGTAGAGTAGCCCCCATTAGATGAGATGCCGACATGGTGATGCAGGAAGTTGATGGATACGTGTTGCTCAGGACTGAATTCACAGCTTTATTTCGGGGACATGATGACGATGATTATTCACTCAATTTTTTTTGACTAATTCACAACAGACATCTGTTGTTCTTGATAGACTGAAGAAGGCTAAAGAAGCTTTAATGCAAAACACTAAATGTGACAGATATACAGTTATCATTACTTTTATAGGAGTCAACGTCACTTAAGAACATTGTTTCGTTATTAGAACTGGGTTCAGCCACTGCGTTTTTGCTTGCAATTATCATTTTTATAACACATTTTGGTATCTAATCTTCAAAGAAAGACAAGCATCAGCACGTACTCTATGCACATCAGTTCGTTCATAAGGCAGCTATTTCTTTTGTTTTCTTTTTAATTTTACCAATTTAGTGGGTTTACAATGTCATTTGTAAACATACGTTAAATCATGACGCTCATTATGTGGTTGTTTGATAAGGATCGGCTTCCACCATTACTTTTACTCATCTTCCTCGTAGGTTATTCTTTAAAAAGAACTTTTCATTTTGAAAGCATTTGAACCAAAAAACACAATGCGTTCCTTAGTCCACCCTATCCAAACGCAGCTTTGATATTGCGAACTGTCTCAGGTCCGTAAGAATCACAACATAAATCGTAATAAAAATTATTCTGACTTTAGAAGTCTCTATTTTTGAATCAAATGCTTTAAAAACAGTTAAAAGTCAAACAATAAAATATCATATTTTTTAATTTTAGAATGTTTTAGTTTTGTGTAAAAAAACTTTTCATCACGTATATTATATCAAGTAGGTTTACATTTAAATCAAAATTTCCACTCCATTAAAATGGCAGCTTTATACTTTACCCCTATTATCATCTATTGTTTTAATAGGCATTTAACGTGCTATATTCAGACATGTTTCTGATATTATAACATGATAAGGCTGGGTTATCTGGAATAATGTTATGTCCAACTCATCCCTTTAGCAACCACATATTTTAAAAGCCTGATAAACATTGTTTAATATACTGCAAATTTATAGAGCTATTATTTTTTATAAAATATGTGTCTATACCTTACTTCTCAAATATTCCGCTATTTTATGCTGTTTAGTGGCAGCGTAAAAATATCTACAACCTCTTATCATTTATTAAGTGTCGAAAAAGCTATAGAGGTAAACTGAAGCAGGACGTGTGAATCAATAATTACTACATGCATTCTGACAATTGCTCAAAATAATAAAAAAACTAAGGTTGTCATCACGCCTGCCAAATATGGCAAATGTGAATAATGTATTAACTCTGCAAAGTAATCAATAGGAGAAGCTTTTCTTCAGCAGTGAAGTGTTGAGAGGCCGTAAAGAAAAAATAATTTCAAATAAGTATCCCCGTGCTATCATCAGCCCATGTAAATTTGTGAAAATAATTACGATGTAGTTTTACTGTTATTTTATTTCTTATATATACTTCAGAGCCGTAGTAGCTAAGGGACTCCGCGCTGGCCGTGAATATCACATTATGGAAGCAAAGCGAGCTCGACCACCGGCGGCATGAAATTGTTTGTGAAGGAAATTACAGTGAGCGATTATAAATCTTTTATTTAAATGGCATTGTTTGTATGTTTGCTGGGGTCGAATCGTGCAAATGCATTATAAAGCAGTTATTCTTAACCTATTGAGCTGAAATTTTGGATACATATTTAGTTTGCATAAAAATTTATGGTTATGTAGGTGACGTCATTCTAAATATAACATGACGGACCGTCCAAAATGGCGGAGAAGTAATTTTCGATCCACAAATGGTGAACGGTTGAGTCCTGTTCATACATACAACCCCTTATATCTAAACCACATCCTAAGAAGAACATGAAGTCAGTCATCGCGTTTGATGTTGTCAGTAAAGCTGACATATACAATAAATTGCCAGGGTTGTCAGAATGGGAAGTAATAAAGAAATAAAAAAAAAATTATTTTATTCAGCGTTTAAATAAATTCCTGTGTATGTGGATAATATTTTTATAACTATTATATTTAAGGTGAAAAATATCTAGTTCACAATTTTTTTTTGTTAATATTTTTACATGTACGAGATACATAATTATTAGAAGCATACTTCGTTTTTACTTTACGTAATGCAAAAAGAGGCTTTTTTCGTGCACCTAACCGGTGACACGCAAGATTCACTTTGCTTAAAAGTCGGGGAGAGTCGATGATATTATGTAGCAATTTGTACAACATTTGATCTCTTATATCACGGCGTATTTCGAGTGTATAACTGCGTAAGCTACCAATAAAGGAGTCTACGGAAGAATCATATCGCTTTAAGTGACGCAGAAACTTATCATTGATTGTTTCAATCATTTTAACATAAACTTTGTATTGAGGATTCCAACATGAAGAGCAATATTGAAGAATAGATCGCACCAGAGTATTAAATAGTATAATTAATGTTGTAGAGTTTTTAAAATCTTTTGATATACGCATCACAAAACCTAGCATTTTATAAGCTCTTTGAGTTATTATATCTCAGTAACAACTTACTATCCAACTGAAAACCAAGATCACGCAGTTCATTTACTCTGTTTAGTTAATTATCGTCGAGCTTATAGTTTAAGAGAATTGTATTCTTTTTCCTAGTAAATGAGATAATATTACATTTCTTGATGTTCAAGTAATTATGATTTGCTTGGCAATATGAGCTAAGCCTACACAGATCCTCTTGAAGTAGATTGCAGTCTTCTATAGATTTAATGAATCTAAAAATTTTCATATCATCTGCAACAAGGAGAATTTTGGAATTATGGAAGCAGGATATTACATCATTTATAAATATAATAAACAGTAGTGGACTAAGATGCGAACCCTGAGAAGCACCTGAACAAACTGGGAGAAATGATGAACATTCTCCTTTTATTGCAACTGCCTGACTACGATTTCTAAGATAAGAAGATTTCCATCGAAGTAAATCTGTGTATCAGAATACTATGTGAAATGTTGTCAAATGCTTTTGTAAAATCGGTGTACACTGCATCTACCTGCAGTCCACTATCCATTACAATTTACTTTCTGTAGATTTTTGACCTATAAAATCATGTTGTTCAGGAATTATAATTGTGTGTCATAAATAATTTTCTCAAATAGTTTTGGAATCCAGCTTAATTTTGAAATTGGACGGTAATTTGAAATATCGTGCTTATTACCACTTTTAAATATAGGAATAATGAACGATTTTTTCCATTCTAAAGGCAATTCACCCAACTTCATGGAAGTTCTAAACAAAATTGCTAATGGTTTATTAATTTTTGTCTCTCTCTTAGTATGGCAAAAGACTTGTAATCACTATCCTGTTTATACACCTTCCACTTGCGATGAAATTTTAATTTTTCATTTACAATTTTAATCAATGCGCTATTATACCAAATTGGGTACTTAGTGTTAAATTTAATAGTTATAGTTGGTACGTGTTTTTCTATTATATTATTTAAAATTTTATAAAAATTCGACACAGAGACATCGATATTACCGTCACTCAAATTAGATTCCCAGTCTATTTGCGAAATATTTATATTTATTTCCTCATAATCGGCATCTCTATATAACTTGACTGTGTGAGTCCGAGCCTCGAGTAGTTTCTCATGTAATTTTAAAATTGTAAACTCAAAAGCTGGATGGTGCGAATCCTCTGAAACTATTGGAGTAGTTACTAAACTGACTTTGCAATTAATGTTGGCATTAAGAGATCCAAAAATACGATCATTAAAATTTTTAAATATATTATACTGACTAAAATTATTAAAAGAAAGAAAATTTGTTAGTTCATTAACTGTATCCAATGAAAAATCTCCATGTAAAGTCACATCAGCATTACTATTATTCGACCAGACTGTGTTAGGTATGTTAAAATCTCCTAATATAATGAAGTAGTCATCAGGGTAAGAGAGAACTTCATCAGAGATATGTTCATAAAAGTTTGACAACACATATTTATGAATTCGACATTGTGGCAAATAACAACAGTATATGTTGCATCGTGTATGTCGTTCAAATGAAATAGAATTACGAATCACGTCAGCAGCTGAATCCATTGACGGGATGCATTCAACGTTAGTGACCTTTAACTTACGTCTCATTGCAATCAGAACTCCTCAACCCATTGTATCACCTCTGACTTTGTAGTTACGATCGCTTCTATATACGTAATACCGTGCGTCAAACAGTTCTAAGTGGAATATACCCGAATGTAACCAAGTTTCAGTGAAACAGATTATATCGTACTCATGACATAAGACCTCTCTGAAAAGCAAGTCAGTCTTAGTACGTAGACCCCTTACGTTTTGATAGTAAATTTTTAAATTAGAACCGATTTTTATACAGATATATATATATATATATATATATATATATATATATATATATATATATATATATATATATATATGTATGTATAAAAATATATGTATAATATCAAGTAGGTTTACATTTAAATCAAAATTTCCACTCCATTAAAATGGCAGCTTTATACTTTACCCCTATTATCATCTATTGTTTTAATAGGCATTTAACGTGCTATATTCAGACATGTTTCTGATATTATAACATGATAAGGCTGGGTTATCTGGAATAATGTTATGTCCAACTCATCCCTTTAGCAACCACATATTTTAAAAGCCTGATAAACATTGTTTAATATACTGCAAATTTATAGAGCTATTATTTTTTATAAAATATGTGTCTATACCTTACTTCTCAAATATTCCGCTATTTTATGCTGTTTAGTGGCAGCGTAAAAATATCTACAATCTCTTATCATTTATTAAGTGTCGAAATAGCTATAGAGGTAAACTGAAGCAGGACGTGTGAATCAATAATTACTACATGCATTCTGACAATTGCTCAAAATAATAAAAAAACTAAGGTTGTCATCACGCCTGCCAAATATGGCAAATGTGAATAATGTATTAACTCTGCAAAGTAATCAATAGGAGAAGCTTTTCTTCAGCAGTGAAGTGTTGAGAGGCCGTAAAGAAAAAATAATTTCAAATAAGTATCCCCGTGCTATCATCAGCCCATGTAAATTTGTGAAAATAATTACGATGTAGTTTTACTGTTATTTTATTTCTTATATATACTTCAGAGCCGTAGTAGCTAATGGACTCCGCGCTGGCCGTGAATATCACATTATGGAAGCAAAGCGAGCTCGACCACCGGCGGCATGAAATTGTTTGTGA